CCCTTGCTGCCGGGGTCCCTAGGGACAGCTCTGTCCGCCATTAGGGAATTTATCCCTGAGAACCCCCTGTAACATTTCGTGAACCCCCAGGGGTTCACGAACCCCAGTTTGGGAACCACTGGTTTACAGGGTGGGTGCGGGGCTGTCCCTCCGGAAAGAGTACCTTGTTCCCCTGGAGGTGGATGGGAGGAAGGTCAATGGATACTGGGATATGGGCGTAGAAGTGATGCTGGCCCGGCCCGAGGTGGTGGCCCCAGATCGGGTGGTGCCCAACACCTACCTGACTCTGACGGGGGTGGCCAGGACCCCATTCAAGGTGCCTGTGGCGAGGGTACACCTGAAATGGGGGGCCAAGGAGAGCCCCAAGGACGTGGGGGTACACCTGTATTTGCCCACTGAGGTGTTGATGGGGGGGAACCTGGAGGACTGGCCAAGCAACCCCCAGGGTGCCCTGGTTGTGACCCATACTCAAAATCGGCAAGGGGCACTGCGCCCTGACCTTGGGGAGGGTGCCTTGCCCAAGGCACGGACCCTAATCTGGTGGGGAGGGAAAGCCCAGGGACATGGCTCAGGGAGGCTGCGGCTTCAGACCCAGCCGGCGAGAGAGAGCAGGTGGCAATCCCTGTCCCAGCTGCTGAGTTCCAGGGCGAGTTGCAGAAAAATCCCTCCTTGCAGAAGATAAGGGACCTGGCCGACCTCAGTGTGGCACAGATCATGGGGAGAGGTGGCCAGAAAAGGTTCCTGTGGGAGAAGGGGTTCCTGTACCGAGAATGGGCTCCCCCAGGGAAAATGGAGTCGGCGGGATCAAGAGGCAGCTGGTGGTACCCCAGAAATATCGCCGCCATCTGCTGTACCAGGCCCATGACATTCGCCTCTCAGGGCACCAGAGAGCCTGGTGTACCCAGCAGAGGCTGCTACGAAACTTTTACTGGCCTGGGGTCTTTGTTACTGTCCAACAGTACTGCCAATCCTGTGACCCCTGTCAGAGGGGGAGGAAGGCGTGGGACAAGGGGAAAACGGCTTTAGGACCTTTGCCCATCACAGAGGAGCCTTTCCAGAGAGTGGCCAGGGTCAAAAGGGGGGCTCTGAACCAAGAGAGCCCGAATCACAGACCTCCAGACTGAAATGCTGGGAGAAGACCCAAGCCCAGTTGGAACCCCAGGGGTATTGGGGTGGGAAAAGGGCATGGGCCGCATAAACCTTCCCACAGGCGAGCTACGAGTGCCATCGAGCATACCCGACCTAAGGGGGGGGGGTGAAACTGGAAGGGCCTGGTGTAATTCTCACCGAGGAATGGGAGGGGTGTTGGAGCACCCACGGGAACGTGGGAAGGTTCGAACTTCCCCAGGTCACTGGCTGTAGTGACCCCGTTCAGTTCGGTCTCGAAGGGGGGAGAGATGTGACGAACTGGGACTGTTCTTAATGTGGTCTTTGAATGCTGAGTGGGCAGTGTTGGCTGGGAAGGCAGGGGAGTGTGGCTAGGATGGTCTGCATTGGGGGATGGGAGACTGGCCTTGAGGGAGAATACCTGAGCATGTAACATGAGAACCCAGGAAGGGGTTAGAGGCCAGGTGACACCTTGGCCCAGGAAACTGAACAAAGGCTGGGGAGTTTCAGGGCTGGTGGAACGGCTGGGAGGGAGACGGGGCTCTGACCCCCCAAGGGAGCTGTGGTGCCCTGGGACCCCAAGATGGACCTAACTAAAGGGGGTCCTGTTGTCTGTGCCTGCAAGACCTGTCTTGGACTGTGTTCCTATCATTATCAGGAGGAGCTACAAGATACAGTTAAAGGGCAATAGCTCCACATGCGGATTGGAAGGAAGATTTATGGTCTTGTGTTATGCAGATGACCTACTGGTCCATTCTGGCACTAAACTCCATGACTCCATGAATTCAGGTAGATACAATGCTATGGTTTGGCAGGATGGAGCTCAGAACAAGGTTGCAGTTTGGAAGTGGGAAATCTTTTACTGTGTTCAATGTGTTCGGACAGGAAGTGTCATTGCTGCCAGACCCCATGTACCCCCATTCTTGCCATTCATAAAGACAGCAGAGGGTGATTCACTATCCTTGCAGGCCAGGGGAGAAAGAGAGCAGAAACATCCAGCAATGCAGATCCCACAATCCATAGATGGGAAGAAATACCCCTGCTGCTTTTCATATGGGTTTGTCTTCACTGGGTTTTTGTACCTTAATTGCCAATTAACTAAAGGTACTTAGCCCATTTGTAGCTGCTAATGTGAACACTCTCCACCCTTTTGTTCCAGGCTACAGATGGTCAGGCCCAGATCATCAAAGGCATTTACGGTCCTACCTTCTGTTGAAATTACTGTAAGTGGGGAGCGTAGGCCCAGATTTACAAAGGGACTCAGGTCATGTCTACACTGTGGGTGCTGTAGCGCCGTAGCGTAGACATTTCCTACATCGACAGGAGGGGTTTTTCTATCCCTGTAGGAATTCCACCTCCCTAGGAGACAGGAGCTAGGAGGCTGGAAACATTCTTCTGTCCAGTAGCTGTGTATACATTGGGGATGAGGTTGACATAGCTACAGTACTCAGGGGTGCAGATTTTTCACACCCCTGAGCACTGTAGTTATGTCGACCTAACTTTTAAGTGTGGACAGACACTTAGAAAGTCACAGGAAAATGCTGTGATCCACAAAGCCCAAGTGGGGCACCTAGGCTCCCCGTACGATGAATGGGGAGAAATAAGTGCCTTAGAAAGCAATCCACAAAAGCCAGCATGCCAGGTGAGGAGCCACATTGGCAATAAGAGATACACAGTCCAGCCTGCCTGACCTGCTTGGTACAACCTCAGCTCTGGCCTTCCAATCTCCAACACTGAAGCCCGTGGAGCGCCCCAGGATCTGCCCATCTCTTGATGGGGATTTACACCCTTCCACACAGAAGGGGGCTCTGACATTTGCATTGCACCGTCCACCCTCTTTGCAAGGGGCTGGCTGGTGGCCAAGAATCAATGCACGGGGAAGGGGCTGGCTGCTGGGGACACCCTGTGGGAATCGCTACAGCCTCAGTACTGTGGGCCCTCCTATGTGGGTGGATCTCAGGGACAACAGTCTGTGCTGAGGTCCTTCCATCGGGATGGTTCCACATCCCTAGCAGACTCCTTGGCTTGGGGTCTGTATAGCATCAGGGAATCCAGGCGGCTTTGGGACTCAACCACCTGCTTCTTCCTTCCAAGTCAGTTCCCTGACCTAGGTGCAAACAAAATGTTACAAGGGCTGGAAAATATTGATGGCACATATTTTAGGGGCATTGTATCTCAGGGACCTCTTTATGTAACAACCCCAATTTGGCTCTCTTAGCCGACTCTGGAGCCCTATGAGGCACGGGCATTTTCAAGACAATCTGAGTAAGCCCGTGGATGTTAGGGCACTTTGAAAAATCATCTGTTAAACAGCGAATCTCAGCTTTAACTAAAGCAGAGCAGTTGCTCTGTTATCTTAAAGAAATCTTTAGGATACCTGGCTCTTCTATAGCACTTATCATCCATAGATCTCAAAGCACTTTACAAAGGAGGTCAGCATCATTACCCCCTTTCACAGATGGGGAAACTGAGACCCAGAGAAACAGCACAACTTGCCCAAGGTCATCCAGCAGGGCAGTGACAGAGCTGGGAATAAAACCCAGGCCCCAGATCAGTGCTCTGCTCATGGCCTCTCTGCACCAGTTACAGATGGTCATGTTTTCAAGGTTTATTTGTGACAGCTAGAAACTCTAGTTCTGTTATTTTCTCATGAGAGCTGAGATTCTGATGAACAAGAAAGCAGATTGGGAGACTTACTGGTTTCCTGTCCCAGCTCCAACCAGCCCTAGGCAAGGAGTGGGATGGGGAAACTATTCCTACATGGGTGCCTTCGGGGTGTGGGGTTGGAATCTGAGAGGTCAGAGGGGATGATACAGCGTGACCTCCATGCCAGCATCTGGGGAGGGGGAGTGATACTGTGTTTATCCCCAGAGCTCTAGGGAGAAGGGTCTCAGAGGCGTTCTACTGTGTGTGCCCCAACTGTGCGGGGAGCAGGGTCTGCAGGGATTATACTGTGGACATATACCGTGGGCACCCCAGGGCTTTGTGGGGAATGGTCTTTGGGGGATTATACAGTGGACATTCCTAGGGCTCTGTGGGGAAAGTTCTTTAGGGGGGATTATACTGTGGGCACCCCCAGGGTTGTGTAGAGAGGGATCTTGGGGGTGATATGCTGTATGCCCCCCAGGGCTTTGTAGGGAGGGGGTCTCAGGGCCACCTAGAGTTCTGTGGGAATGGGTCTTTGGGATGGGTATATCCCATTCACCCTCAGGGACCTGTACAAATAGGTGGCTGAAGGATTATAGTGTGTGTCCCCAGAGCTGTGTGCGGGTCACACTGGGGGAGCGCTCAAGCTGTGTGGAGAGGCGTGGGGGGGTCACATGGCTATGTGCGAAGCAGTGGGGTCACACTGGGGGAGTCCCATAGCTATGTGGGGAGGGGTGCTTGGTTTCTCTGGGGGCATGCCCCAGGTCTGTGTGGGGAGGGTGAGGGGTCACACTGGAGGAGCTTGGTGGCTATGGGGGGGGTCACACTGAGGATGCCCCGTGGCTGTGTGGGGAGGCGTGGGTGGTCACACTGAGAGTGTCCCAGGTTTGTGTGGGGAAAGGTGGGGGGGTCACACTGGGGGAGCCCCTAGCTCTAGTCCACTCCCCCTCCGCTGTCACCCGCTGTGCCTTTTCTGAGCCCTTCGGAGTAAAGAATGGCTATTGCTACTACGCATGCGCACGGGTTTCCGGGCGGATTAAGCTGATAGACCCAAGACCGGAGTCGGACTCGTGGCGCAGCTTTTGCGCATGCGCCAAAGCTTGGCTGCGAGGTGGAGCCAAAGCGCCTGTGCCGGCGTTCTCGGCCGGAGGACGTGAGGTTCGTGCGCGTGCGCCGCGTGGGAATGCCCGTCGCTCTCTCGGTGCCGGGGGAGGGAAGTCGCTGCGCGTGCGCGGCCAGAGGAGCCTGCTCGGAACGGGAGGGAGGAAGCCGCTTGGGAGGAGGTCGCGGTCGCGCAGGCGCAGTGTAGCGGCCGGGCCGATTCTGTGTGTGTATGTGAGAGTCTGACGGGTTCAAAATGGCGGCGTCTGCTCCTGTGTGAGGAGGGGAAGCGAGTCCGGGCGGGGAGTGGGGGATGGCAGCGGGGTGCCGAGCCCGCCGGCGCTGAGGCAGAGCCGGGCGGGGCGCTGGGGACGCTCGGCCTTGGGGTGTCGGGTCTGGACGGGGAGGCGGCGGCGGCCGGGGGGCAAGTTGGGGAGAGGGGGGAAGGATTAGGGGCGAGTTAGGGGAGGGGGTACTCCCAGAGTGACTTCCTCATAGCCCTGGGGCACCCCCAGTGTGACCTCCCTTGGGGTGAGTTTAGGGGGGGAGATTTGAGGTGGGGTGATTGAGGGGGTGGGGCAGGGGATTTGGGCTGTGGGTGGGGTGAGTTAGGGGGTGGGTGGAGATTTGAGGTGGGGGGCTGGGGTGAGTTGGGGCTTGGTGGTGTGGGAAGCTGGGGTATGTTGGGGTTGGTGGGGGTTGATTTGGGGGTGGGGTGACTTTCCCCCCGGGGCATTGCCTGTAATTGTCCGTGAGTCTGTTCACTGGGTGTGTGAGGATTTTATTGGGGTGGGGGGGTGTCTGTGTGGCTGCTCCCAGCCATGCTGAAAAGGGTGAGCGTTGCAGGCACCCCGAGACTGTCCTGATCCCCTTCTACGAGCAGAGCTGTTTTCCTGGGACTTGCCATCCCTTTTGGATACTAGGATCCTCTGAGCACCCAAGATGAAGACAGCCATGCGTGGGATTTAATTTCTCCTCTCTTTATTTTTCTGAATCTTTTTTCATCCCTAGAAAAGGACAAAGGAGAAGAAGAGACCTGGTGAGAGACTTGATTTTCTTCATATCCCCCTGCTTTTGCCAACAGTGATGAGTCTAGTGACCTCTCCAGTGCCCAGGGTCTCCCTGCTCCTCGACCCCTCCAACTTTATGTAACTCAGTGAACCACGCATTTTATTGTGGCTTCTTGGGAGCAGCCAGTCACTGGCATTATCTCTCCTTTGCCTTTCTCCCCAGAGATGAGCTGGGATTTGTATGTAGGCATTGTTTAATCTCTTTACTATATTGCACTGTTCTCATTTGTTTCATGTTTTTAAAAACATTTTTGGAGAGAGGGAGCAAGGCACTGGGTGGAGTGAGGGAAGAGGTTGGTTTTATCCCTGAGGTAGGGAGAAAGAGTTGTTGGGATTTCTTTCCCGCTTGTCTTTTACTACTCTTAAATACAAAACTTTGTAAGGGGTTTTTCCCTGACTCCTGAAGAGGGAGATTAGGTTAAGACTTATTGTTATTGGCAAGTCATCTGACATCTGTCAAACTTCTGTTTTAATAATTTGTGCAATTTAAAGCGAGTTCTGTGTTACTGAAGGATGCTGGATTGACAGTTCCCCAGAGATTGACATCCTGAATGTCTTCCCAGCACAATCAAACCACGGCAGCAGCCATGCTATCTCCTTTCACCAACCCAACCAGCTGCCTCTCTGCCCAGGCCCGAGATCACTTCTAAGAATGAGGAGTGGAGAGTTAAGTCTGTAGGCCAATATCTGAACTGACCTGCTCTGATGAGACTACTAGGGTTGGGGGCCTGTTAGACCACAACTACACTATGTAATTTACCATGTGTTGTTGCACTCTTATTATGTACTAGTGCGCTGGTTATTCTACCGTAGCCTGTCTGTGCACGAGAAAAAAACTGACTATGTTATTAGACCACGCTCAATCCATGTAAACTGTCTATAACAGCAGTTCTCAAACTGTGGGTTGGGACCCCAAAGTGGGCCACAACCCCATTTTAATGGGGTCACCAGTGCTGCCTTAGACTTGTTGGGGCCCAGGGCCAAAGCCAAAGTTTGAGCCCTATTGACCAGGGCTGAAGCGAAAGTCCAAGGGCTTCCACCCTGGGCAGCAGGGCTCAGGGTACAGGCCCACTGGGCTTCAGCTTTGGCCTCCCTGCCCGGGGTGGTGGGGCTTGGGCAGGCTTAGGCTTTGGTCCCCACTCCTGGTCTCGTAGTAACTTTTGTTGTGAGAAGGGGATCACGGTGCAATTAAGTTTGAGAATTCTTGGTCTATATAAACTTTAAGTCACTGGTGGTAGCAGTGGCAGAAGAGTTAGTATAAACAGGGCACTGGCACTTTAACTACCGTGTTGTCTGATCTTGCTCATAATGGGTAGATATGACTTGGTGGTGAAAACACCAATTGCTGCTTGAGCTCTTTTTATGCTATCACTCCTATTGCTACCAACCGTGGGAGATTTCCCCAAACAGCCTAGGAAAGACAAGGCTATAAAGATTGGGCTTTTTAACGTTGTTATAATACAGCATTATCTTGTCCGTATAGAAAAGATGAAACAGTGTTATATCAGAGCACCTCCATGTGATAGCACTACAGTGAGGCAAATTCTGAGTTGTGGAATCTGTCCACACTGGAGTCAGTCATGTTATCCGCAAGTATGTTGAAATACTGTTAGAAGAGTTTCTGCACGTTTTCCCTGACAAGAGTCCATGTGGATTTGTTGTTGAAGGGTAGGGGGGGAGCTGCAGAGAACCACATTACAAACTATCAAGAGGCGGAGTCTACAGCATGATTTAGGAGACATGCTTCTCGGACACACACGTCTGATTCTCTGGGAAAACCATGCTACAGCCCTGCTGCCACCAAATATGTTTAAATATACATTTGAAGCCAGCATGGTTTTGATCCCAAAGTGGAATGGCTTAATGATGACTCTAATGTGGAGGCATCTCCCTGAACTGAGAATATGAACTCACTTCACATAGACCAGAAAATGATAATGACTCCAGATTACTAGTCACCTGGGGTCAAGCTAGAACCCCAAGGAGTTAATGGAGAAAGGAGAACATAAGAATGGCCATGCTGGGCAATTTCAAGTGATCCATCCTCTGTCATCCAGTTCCAGCTTCTGGAAGTTGAAGGTTTATGGATACTCGGAGCATGGGGTTGCATCCCTGACCATCTTGACTAATAGCCATCGATTCTTTTCTGAACCCAGTTATACTTTTTTCCTTCACAACATCCCCTTGCAATGAGTTTGCACATGACTGTGCGTTGTGTGAAGAAATACTTCCTTTTGTTTTGGACCTGCTGCCTATTAATTTCATCAGGTGACCCCTAGTTTTTGTTTTGTGAAGGAGTAAATATTAGCTTTCTCTACATCATGATTTTATAGACCATGAGTATATCCCCACTTTGTCGTCTCTTTTCTAAGATGAGCTGTGCTAGTCTTTCTAATGTTTCCTCATATGGAAGCTGTTCCATACACCTAATAATTGATGTTGCCCTTCTCTGTACTTTTTTCCAGTTCTAGTACAGTTTTTTGAGATGCGGTGACCAGAACTGCATACAATATTGAAGGTGTGGGCATACCATGGATTTATGTAGTGGCATTATAAGATTGTTTGTTTTATTATATATCCCTTTCGTAATAGTTCCTAACATGTTAGCTTTTTTGATTGCTGCTGCATATTGAGTGGGTGTTTTCAGAGAACTATCCATGATGACTCTAAGATCTTTCTAAAGTAGTAATAGCTAATTTATACCCCATCATTTTGCATGTATAGTTGGGATTGTTTTCCAACGTTCATTACTTTGCACTTATCAGCATTGAATTTCACTTCCCATTTTGTTGCTCAGTCGCCCAGTTCAGTGAGATCCCTTTGTAATGCTTTGCAGGAGCTAGCCCATTGCTGTTCTGTGGCCTCTGTACATAGTATTTCACAATGTTACAGAATCATTCACTTACAAATGAAGGCTTAAAGGAGCGTTTCTAATATCTGTGTGTAATCTTTCACTATTTCATTCTGGTTACTAAGGAGGAAGAGGAGGAAGACAGTAGCCCTGGAGTATCTTTCTCACTCTCTTCAGAAGAGTCAGAGATGGAGCCTGAGGAAGAGAGGATCCGTTACAGCCAAAGATTGGTCAGTATTCACTTTTACCCATCAAATTCTCACTGTTAATCTCTTTATTTGCCTTTCAACCCCCAAAAAACTCCCTGGCTTTATAGTGGGAGCAGGCTTGTTACCATCCCATGTAGCAATGAGACTAGCATCTCCAGCTTATACAATGAAACATATAACCACTTAGGTGGGCAATCAATCAGATCATTTGATGCCTCCAGTTCACATCATACAAGTATGTCTTATTGTGGGGGAACATTATAACCATGGTTGTTACCAGCCCAATACATGGCTATTTAAGCTTCAAAAACGGAAAAGTCACAGGTCAAAGAATATGCTTTCAGACATAAGAAACTGGCATAGTTGTTACTTGTGACAAAACAGGCATCTCTTAGTATTTGGGGCAGATGGGGAGAGGAGGAGTTGGGATGCTGTGTACGTTAAACTGGGGCGGCTTTCCGTTGGTATTACATTGGCCCAAATCTGTCTTGAGTATACTTTGAACCAGTGACTGTCAACATTTAAAACACTACAGCAGCACAGCTGCACCACTATAGAGCTTCATTGTAGAGGCTGTACAACAACAGGAGGTGCTTTTCTTCTCACTTAGTCATCTACCTCCTTGAGTCAACAGAAGAATTCTTCTGTCAACTTAGCACTGTCTACACTGGGCTTAGGTTGGCATAGCTTCAGCCTTGAGAGACATAGCTATGCCAGAGTACTTTTTCGGTGTAGACCAGCCCGAAGGAAATAGGCTCTACGCTGAAGTTAGTTGGAACTGGTGGTGTGTGTTTGTCTTATTTTAGTATTCGCACTCCAGAGGCCAGGTCTATACTAGGAAAGTAGGTTGCTATAACTACATTGCTCAGAGGTGTGAAAACCCAACACCCTTGAGCGACACAGATAAATTGACCTAACCCCCAGTGTAGATAGTGCTAAATTGATGGGAGAATTCTCCCATCAGCATAGCTCCCACCTCCTGTACAGGTGGAGTACCTACACTGAGAGGTGAATCTCTTCCATTGGCATAGGTAGCATCTTCTCTGTAGTGCCACAGCAGCACAGCTGCAGCATTTTAAGTTTAGACCTTCCCTTACAGAATCTGAGATTTTATTAATGGTGTCTGTGTCTGGGACATAGTTCCCATCAAGAGAAAAGAAAAAAAGCTGGTGTTCTCTTTCATTCCCACTTCATGGAGAAGTCATGCTAAGCTGCATGGTCAGCTTGGTCTCTCTGCCCTAACCCTCAGGCTTTTGACTATTGCAATTAAATCTTTATCCTTTAACGCTTTGAAATAAAATCAGTTGGCATGAAGTCTAGTGAAGTGGTGCACTGATCTCTAGGATTAGGTTTCCCAGAGAGGGGAAATGGTCACTTTCCTTGTCATCTAGTCAATCGCTACTTCTGTGCCCTAACAGCCTACAGAGAGCACTAGTGCTCACCTTGTAAAGGTGAGGTAGCAATTGTAATCTCTAGAGTAACTGATTTCATTCCCACTAAAGAATTTGTTCCTAAGAGGAAGGAGAAGTTAGTAGGGCCATGTTTCATCTTGACTTAATGATAAAGTTCTAGTTTGAGGACTGTGTATAGCAGGGGATAGTGTCTGTTGCATCTTAAATTTTGTGGATATAATCTGCAGGCTAAACATCTGGTGCAGAAAACATCTTAGTGAAAGACACAAATTCTTCATACTTCCAGCCCCTTATGGCTTCTGTGGGAAACTCTGAAGTAACTGCTACAGGCTGTATAGTTGTCATTGTTTGCCAGCCATGCCTGTTAAAAATGGCTGTAGTCATCAAACTTAAAATTACTATGAACTATGGGCTCTTTTACCTATAGCTGTAGTAGTATTGGTGGTTTAGCTCCAACAAAATGTTATGAGCTGAATAAACAGCAGTGTTGAACTAAGTTCAGACCACAGGAGAAGGAGCATGGCTGGGAATTAGAGCAGAGGACCGAGTCATAAGCTTGGTTCTCTACCTGATTTTGTTGGTCTTCCTGTGGCCTTGGGGTAAGTAAGTGTAGTTTTGCCAGAAAAATCACACCCACAACCAACATTTGCTAGGTGAGCAAAAACCCTACTGTAGATGCAGCTATACCAGCAAAAAGTCCTTTTACCCCTATGGCTTATTCTGATAGCGTTAACTGATGTAAGCAAAAGGAGTTATTTTGCCGGCATAAGCTGCCTCCACTGGAGGGGGCGGCTTGTGTAGCACTACTGGTATATCTATACTGGCAAACCCTTTGTCTCACAGGGAGATCTGTTACATGGGGGTCATGATGTTTAATTTACTAACGTTTTGTAAATGTCTGCTGCTTTCTCCTCTGTAGCGACTTCCAATTTACCACGCTACCACTTTATTTGGGCTTCATTGCCACCCCCTTCCTAATCTCCTCTGCTAAAAATGATCAGTGGTTGAAGATCTGTTGGGGTTAACTCTTTATTGCCAGCGTTAACTATTTAACATGTTGTTGAGATGAATGGGCTGGAAAAGTAATTCTCCTATCCCAGGGGTTCTCAAACTGGGGGTCGTGACCCTTCAGGGGCTCACGAGGTGTCAGCCCCCATGCATGCCAGGGTTTCAGCTGTGAGCCATGTGCAGGGCTGACAGTCCGAGCCCTTCAGAGCTAGGTGGCCAGAGAGCAGCTGCTGCTGGCCATGCACCCAGCTCTAAAGGCAGTGCTGCCCCCAGCAGCAGTAAAGGTGGCATGGTATGGAGGGGAGGGGGAGTCACTTTTTTGGACCAATCATCACAGTCTGAAATATTTTCAAAGGGGATCCTAGCAAAAAAAAGTTTGAGAGCCCCTGTCCTAGCTAATGTCTCGGGCTGTAGCAGACTCAAGAAGACTGCACTTCATCAGTTAACTTTACAGATAAAACCAGAACGTAATCATGGCTGCAAAGAAGGCTAGAAACTCTTCTAATTGCAAGCTTTGATTCTGAGGAGTCCGAGAGCATGTCTGTGCTACAGCAGCACAGCTAGAATGCTGGAGCACCATAGTGTAAATACTTCTTACATCGATGGAAGGGGTTTTTCCGTTGCTGTAGTTAATCCACTTCTCTGGGAAGTAGTACCTAGGTCGATGGAAGAATGCTTCTTTAACCTAGCTGTGTCTACAGTGTGGGTAGGTTGACCTAACTACATCGCACAAGACACACAATTTTTCACAGCCCTGAGCGGTGGGGGTAGGTCGACGTAACTACATCACACAGGGGGCACAATTTTTCAAAAACGCTGAGTCGTGTAGGTGACTCCCTCTAACTTTTAGGTGTAGAGCAGGCCTGAATGTATTTGAGTGAGCAACATGACACCAAGTGGACGTCAAGTCTATGGGTCAGGCATTTGACCACCGTGGAGACTGAACTTCCTACTTGGCGCCTGCATGGCCATGCTGGCAGGAATGGCAGTTTGAGTAGGAAGCATGAACTGCAGATGTTTAGGTTCTACTTATGAAGAATGAACTGAAAAATTCATTCTCCTGGGGCTGTGAATCCAGTACTTTTCATACTCAAAGACACCGCTTAATTCTGTTTTCATGCAGACATGTACAGATGGACATTGTAGGGAGTACATGAGTTAAGGCTTTCCAGTTAGTCGTCTGGTCATTTTGAAGAGTCTGATTTGTCATATTGCATCAGAATATTGGTCCAACTAGTCGAGGATCATATCTTCAGCAGCAACCAGTATCTGATGCTTCAGATGGAAATTAAAACTCTTTCCATATTGCACTTGGCCACTTGTAGAATGCTGTATAAGAGGAAGATTCCTCTATGATCATCTTATTGGCTGAAACATGAGACTTTATTACCCTTGCATCGCTATCTGAGTTCACAGAACCACAAATGTGTTTAGTTATCATGTGCTCTCCCAAAGCTGTACTTGTCTCCGTGGTCCCTTCTGATAGTGAGTTCCACAGTCTGTCCTGGAGAGAAATGGATCTAGTTTGAAAAGCTACTGCCCCTTACTCTTGTGGTATGGAGCCAAGGTATTGTTAGTTCTGGAGATTCTTTTCCTGTCAGTGGAGCATCATTGGTTTCAGTGCACAAGAGCAAAGTAATCCCAGCTTCCCACATCAGTTTGGTTAGATTCAACCATACTTTTAAATAGCATTGGTATAAAAAGAATTTCTGTACTGGCTAATGATTTATTGCAGTGAAAGGGGAATTCAGTCTCCAAGGCCTACTCAAATCTTGTCTTCTCTGATGTCAGTAAGAGCATGGGATGGTAATTGTAGTTTTAATAGTGTAAAAATGTTCCACTGGAAACACAAGTAAGTGTTGCCTTTCGTATACTGTCAGTTGCAAAAATAGTCATTGGTGGGAGCTATATGCAGTCAGTACTAGAAGGGTGGATTAGAACCAATGTGTGAAAGACTCCATATTCTTAACCCTTTCAGCAATCTAAGGATGCTGGGGGGGAATATTTGAATCACAGGAATAAGAAGTCTCACCCTCTCATGGAACTCAAAGCATTATCCATATACACACGAATTAAGACTTGCAAGACCCTTGGGAGAGAAATTAGGGATTGTTTCACCCACCACTGAAATTGTTCTACAACCATTCAGTAATGAAGTTTAAGTTAGGAAACGAAGAGCAATAACATTGTATCTAGTCAAAGCAGTTTGACTAGAATGTAGAGCAATAAACTGTCATTACCATAACTGGAAATTCTGCAGGTCACTGGGTTTTTTATGTTGTCAAGTCATCAAGGCCAAGGGTCTTTGTCTCAGACTATCTCTTTGTGTTTGTACATAGTCTAACACGATGGGTGTCTTGATTGCTGATTGGGGCCTCTGGACCCTACTGCAATACCTATAATTTGAAAGGCTGCATTTCCTTTTGTACATTGTATACATCCCATGCTGGCTGTTTTGTCATAGTTGAAAATGCCTCCTATTGAATCACCGATACTGCTTCCCACCTACTCTCCTCCCACTGACCCTAGGTGTTCTTGGAGGTCTCCCATTTAAGTACTGGCTTGGCCTGACCTCTTGACTAGATCCACATGTGAAATCTGCAGATGCTCTGCATGAGAGAAACTGTGTCCCCACCCGCACAAAGTGAAAGCTCTTCCATGCAAAGTGTGAACCTGCTTTGACATGTTTGATGTCCGCAGTATCCCTCCAGACACTAGTTCAGATATGCTTTACAGTGTGTGGAGTCGTAGAATAAGGGAAGGTGCTCAACCACAATTCCTGACACTGATCTCCATCGTGCTGTAGGAAGGATCATAGTCTGTGTTTTGGGGAAGCACTCAAGGCAGGGGTGAGAGACAGACTTTTCTCTAGGAAAATGCCCTTTGCAGCAGAGTAAAATATACGAGTATAGTAAGTTTTATACTTCCTGTTTTTGAGTAGCAGTGAAACTGGCTAGACCACTGTAACTCAGAATGCTATGCTGGGAGTTGGGAGCAGGAAAAAGGGCAAAATCTTATTTCACCCCAAGGGAGGAGAAACAGAAATGGAAGAGTGGGCACAGCCCCATCCTTTACAACAGGGGTTCTCAACTTTTTTCTTTCTGAGGCCCCTCAGACATGCCGTGAAAACTCCACGGCCCATCTGTGCCACAATAACTGGTTTTCTGCATATAAAAGCCAGAGCTGGCATTAGGGGGTAGCAAGCAGGGCAATTTCCCAGGGCCCCATGCCACAGGGGGCACCGCAAAGCTAAGCTGCTCAGACTTCTGCTTCCACCCAGGTGGTGGGGATCAGGGCCCCAGGCTTCAGCCCCATGCAATGGGACATCGTCTTTCTGCCCTGGACCCCAGCAAATCTAACACTGGTCCTACTGGTCCCCCTGAAACCTGCTTGCGGCCCCCCAAAGGGTCCTGGAGCCTTTGTTGAGAACCACTGCTCTACAGCAATCATAGCTATAGGGAGTTAAGAGTGAGCAGGGTCTTCTACTCTAAAGGTATATTTACACTACCTGCCAGATCGGCGGGCAGCAATCGATCCAGCGGGGGGGTCGATTTATTGCATCTAGTCAACCCCCCGAATGCTCGCCCGTCGACTCCTGTACTCCTCCGCCGCGAGAGGCGGAGTCGACGGGGGAGCGCCAGCAGTCGACTCACCACGGTGAAGACACCACAATAAGTCGATCTAAGTACGTCGACTTCAGCTATGTTATTGGCGTAGCTGAAGTTACGTAACTTAGATTGATTCCCCCACCCCCCCCACTCTCCCTCGCAGTGTAGACCTGTCCTCTGGAGGCTCTAAATTGATCAGACCTAGGCTAGCATCAAAATATAAGCCCCAATGGGTAGGAAGCCAAGTAGCCCTTGGCTTCCTAGCAGTGGGGGATTTTGGGGTGATCCTTCATCAGAATAATTTCTCTGGCTTCTGTTGGCCTTAGGGCCTCTTGTATTGGCCTGTACCAAGTAGTAATAGCTAGCAATTGACTTTAGATCTCAAAGTGCTTTACAAAAGAGATCAGTGTCATGGGTGGTAGCACTTCAAGTCCTGATCCCAGTTATTCAAGTGCTTGCAGCTATGGCTGTCTGGGGTGGGGGTGGGGGGTGGCTTGGATCGCCAAATGCATGCAGCTGTGGATGCTTGGGGGTGAGAGGTGCCAAATATACTTGCATGTGAATCTGGAAGGGGTGCATTCACCCCATATTCATATTCTAGGACTGCCTCCCAGTTTGGGAACAGATGCTCTGTGAGCACCTACCTTGACAGGCTATGCTTTGTTAAATTACCTAAGAGGACCAACTAAAGTGGTTCTCCAGCAAACTAGGTGAAATCTTGTGTGGCTGAATGCTCTTCAGCTGTAATGTGATCATAGCTGCTAAACACACCTTACTTTCCTAGTCTAGACAGGACTTGTGAGACTAATCACTTCAATCAACTCACTCCTTCCCTTGGCCTCAAAAAATGGGTTTCAGGCTCACTTCACTAACAATGTGTGAGCAGCAAACTATCTTGTCTTGTAGAGACTGCTTATATTTAGCCCCAAACTTAGTTTTTGGACATATTTTTAATGGAACCTATTATCAGTAGAAATGACTACTTGGAATGCTCTGAAATGTCAGTGGAACAGTTATGTTAAAAAAGCATTTCCATGCAGCATTTGCATCCTAAACATTACAGCCCTGTGCTAACCCATGAGAGAATCTGAAGGAAAAAAAGACTAAAATGTGACTCAATTGTGTTCATTTTCTCTCAGCTGAGATATGCAGGAGATAAATGCCTTTAAACAAACCTTGAAAAGGCTCATTTGCTCTATTATTTAACATAGCTGTTTTAAAAAGCTGACTATCCCTTTAACATGATTTGTAAGTTGCAGTGCTGACTGAGCTGAAGGGTACTTCCACACTACCTGCCGGATCGGGGGTGGGGGGAGCGATCGATCTATCAGGGATCGATTTATTGCGTCTGACGCGATAGATCGATCCCCGAAACCCGCTCCCCGTCAACTCCGGAACTCCACCAGAACGAGAGGCGGAAGTGGAGTTGACTGGGGAGCCACGGCCATCGATCCCGTGCCATGAGGATGGGAGGTAAGTTGATCTAAGATACGTCAACTTCGCTGAAGTTGCGTATCTTAGATTGGTTTCTCTCCCCCCCCCCCCCCCCCCCCCCAGTGTAGACCAGGCCGAAGAGACTAGTAGTACAGCAGATAAGCACTTCCAGTTGACTGTCCATACTAAACAAAGTTTGCAAGTAGCATCAGTATTTCTTCTTAATGAGCATGAATATTTGAATATTTTTATGGGGTTATCCCTGCTGGAGGCGTTACTAACTCGTTAGGATACCTGTTCCTCCCCATTGGCTTTTTATTGTTCACTAATCCTTATTTGTTAGTCCCAACTCTGGGTCTGCAGTTCAGCAGGTGGCCCTTTGGGACAGTACTTCATGTGATGGGGCAGTGGCACTGTGTTTAGAAGAAAAACAAAAGCTCGTACCTCAGACTGAATTAGGTTATTGTCTGTGCAAACATTTGGGGCAATTGCTCCCTGCCACTGGGGAAAGCTGTTAGAACTCGTGATGCACAGACCATATTTGCTGATTCCAGTGAAGGAGAGGACGTGGATGAGCTTAGTGGAGGGCTCTAAATGGCTAGTATGAACTCTGAAAGTTAATTCAGTGGCCGTTGTTGACCTTTCATTGGCTTTCAGAATTATGCAGTCATTGTTTTGTTTGGATTTGTAGTTAAATCCTATGATCACATGACAATGCCCAGAGATACTCATCACTGTGAAAGAGAAGGAAGTTAAGGATCTGAGAGACCTGCCATAATCAGTGTTGTATATGTGCAATAATGGGGGTGGGCAAACTTTTTGGCCCAAGGGTCACATCTGGGTGGGGAAATTGGATGCAGGGCCATGAATGTAGGGCAGGAGGTTGGGATGCAGGGTGTATGGGGGGGGTATGGTGTGCAGGAAGGGGCTCAGGGCAAGGGGTTGAGGCAGAGGAGGGGTGCGGGGTGTAAGAGGGGCTCAGGATGGGGTTGGGGTGCAGGGTGCGGCAGGGGGCTCAGGGCAGGAGATTGGGGTGCAGGAGGGGTGCGGCAAGGGGCTCAGGGCAGGGAGCTAGGGTGTGGGGTGAAGGAGGGGTTTGAGATTTGAGATGCAGGCTCTGGCCTGGTGCCGCTTACCCGGAATAGCTCCGGGGTGGCAGCTCCCTACCTGTCCTGGCTCCGCGCTGCTCCTGGAAGCAGCTGGCACCATGTCCCTGCTGCCCCCAGGGGAGGGGGGAAGAGGGCTCCGCGCACAGCTTGATGTGGGTACCTCCCCCAAAGCTCCCATTGGCTGCGGTGCCCGGACAATGGGAGCTGCTGGGGGTGGTGCCTGCAGGTGATGACAGTATGCAGAGCCCTCTGCCTCCCTCCTCCCCCACAAGGGATGTGGTGCCAGCTGCTTCCAGGAGCAGCACGCGGCCCGCAGCGCCAGGGGAGTGGCAATCCTGCGTGCCAGATCCAAAGCCCTGATGGGCCAGATCCAGCCCACGGGCTGTAGTTTGCCCACCCCTGGCAATACTGAGCTCTGCTCTTATTTATGGTTTCTAGTATATTAATACAGCACTATTGGCCAGTTCCTGATTAGTGTGCCGAGGTGCCACTAGACTGACATATGTCTACAACACCTCCCTTCTAGCAGTATAAGAATTTCCATAGTAGGTCAGATCTCTGGTCTATCTAATGTATTTAACATGTTTATTATGGTAGTGCCTAAGGGTAACTCAATGTAGGGGACCCATTGTGCTAGGTATTGTGCATAGAAAGTAGTAGATGGCCCCTGCACTGAAGAGCTTACAGTCTAAATAGATGATTTACTCACATGATGGGAGAAGGGGTATAACGCACAAAGAGAGTGTGCCATGTAATGGCAGCAAATGACAGGTTAGTCCCATGATTATTTTGGGGGTGGGTTTAACTAGAAGGGGATCATTTCTGTTGATATGAGGCTCCATTAAAGATATGCCCAAAAAACTAACTATGGGGCTAAAGAAAACAAAAAGGGCAGAGGGGGACAGGGCAGGAGAGAAGAGGATAAGAGGATACTGTGGAGGTGAAGCTGAGGGGAAGACTCTGTGAGGAGGTGGGAGTGGGAAGGTTGGAGTAAACAGCCAATCAGCATGGGGCAGAGAAAGTCCAGTCAAAACTGTAGACAGTTCTCTGAAAGTCCAAAGTTCGCTGCTTTGG